AATTGCAGCCTACTTCAGAGTAAACCTATCTGGGACTGTAGTTGTGCAATCGCATTCACCAATATGCATTAGTTATGTCAATTTCATTTTTTATAAATATCCTTTGCTAGAAGTAAATAATCTCCCTATCTTTCCCCCTGCAAGCTGCAAACTGTCAATATTCTTGGTATGATTTTAAACAAATCACAAGCAACATTGATGAGTTAGGAATATTTATTTTATTTTAAATCCTGCCTCTTTAAAAAAACACCATTTTCAACTTCGTCAGTATATCATTTCATATCTCTCTGCATCTCATGGAGACTAAAATTAATAATGTTTAATAATTACAGTTAATATCATTGCAGGTACTACTATTATGATAGTTTAAGTAAGTGTCTGAACAACAGGCTGAAGCTAAGGAAATTAAGTGAACCAAATCATAAAACAAACCTACTCTTGTGCATGTGCAGAGAGTTATTAGGTCTTTAATTGAACTACTTAATTGTGTTATAAAAATGTAGCCATTAACTCTGTAAATTACATCACTGTAGTTTTTCTTGGTGTACAACTGTCACTTGCAAGCATTAAGCGAGAAGGCTAAATATAAACAGATTCTGGCCCTCTCTGTACTAATTATAGAGTGTTCGTCTCCCTACTGAATCTAAGTTCTCCAGGGTAAGATTTCTCTCTCACTAGTGTTATTTTTTGAACTTTGAAAAAGCAGGACAGGAAGATTATTGGCATTTTTGAATTTTGATGTTGGAGTATACCATAGACAGAAAAAAAACAATTGAACAAATCAACCCTGAGTTCTCATTTGAGGCACAAATGATCTGGCTCAAATTACCCTACTTTGGACACTTTATGCCAAGACCACTGTGACCTAGGAAAGGTTCTAATACTGGGAAAGATGGAAGGAAAGAGAAGAGAACAACCAGCAGCAAGGTAGACAGACTCAGCTGCAGTGACAATAGTGCAATGTTGGAAGACCTGAAACACCAGGTTAGGGACAGATCATTATGGAGAAAATCTATCTACCTAGTCACTAAGAGCTGACAATGACCTGATAGCACATAATCAATCATGATACTTTGCCCAATGCTGGCTAGTTCACATAATATGAAATGTTTGCATCAATATAGTAAACTCCGTAACTGTACATCAAGAAAAGGAAAAATAGCAATGCAATTCACATTCACTGGCTTTACTCATTTATTTTTATAATTTATATCCCACTTTTCCAGAACACATATTGTGTAAAGCATGACATAACTTATTTGGCGGCCATAACATGTCATAAATGAATAATATATTAAGCTTACCAAAATATAGTATATGTTGTGTAAATCCAATCAAGTGTGATTTATTCAATAAACAATGGTTTAAAAAAAACATCACTTAACATGCACAAACTCAACCAAATATGCAGTGTAGCGTGTGAAATCAGATATAGTGTGGCAATAAGCACACTCCCAAGTCAGACAAGGCTGGGGCCCATCTAAATTTTGCTACTCTTTCCCTATAGCAAAGAAGATTATCGCATGCAATATGGGAAACTCAGACCAGAACTGCTATTAACGAAATCTATTCCCTGGCTTCTAAACTACAGAACAGAGATTTCATGGTATAGCAGCAGATTACGCCAGACACAGATGAAGAATGCAAAAGCTAACTGTAAGTTTCCGTATACATCACACATGAAGTTTTTTTACTTGCATCAGCCATATCTCCTTGGGTTTCTTTTTCCAAGATGTTAAAAAAAAAACTTTTCATTTCATCCATAATGCAAAAAAACCACAAATTCATACTTTTATTACACTTCACTCTTAATGGTCAGTTCATAGAAAGGCTTGGCAAGTGTTGAAAGTGTGGAAATTCAAACACACCACAGACTGTTACTAAATGTTAGAGGAAACAAGTAGATTGTCTGATATCTGAGAGTCAGTATGAGACCATGGATGATCAGTTAATAAGCTGTAAGTTGGCTTGTATTCTCCCTATTTTATTGCTCTGCAGCTCTGCCAATTTCTTGAAAGACTTGAGCAGAATCAGTTGGGAAAACAAAGTAGTGGTAGGGTCTATTTAGTAGACTGTTCCTTAACATAATTTCCAGGGCGGGTCCTCCGTTGGAGTGGTTCCTTGCCCCACCAGGACTTCTTGAGGAGAAAGGTGAAACTATTCATTTTACTCCCTTGGAGCAGAGAGAACTATCTCTCCTAGCTGTCTCCATACATTCAAGAATTCCAAATGCCCAAGCAGCTTCTTCCGAGGATTGGAAGGCCCAAATGAGAAAATGTCTAGGAGATATTGTGCTTCATCTGTAGCCGTGAAACAGCAGGAATAGAGGCAGCTGTAGTTTGCCGCACGAGAGTGAGCAAACTAGGTTGGGCCAAGCAAAATTCACTTGATAAAACCCTGAGAGATGCAAGAACTCCCCACTTTGGTTTCCTGGACTCTGGCTACTTTGTTATACACAGTTATATTTTCACAACTGATCCTCAACTCTGGGGAACAGATCAAGAATCAGATGGCCCAATTCTACAGAAAGAGAGTTCCCTGTACAAGTACAGAGAGCACTTCCTTCTTTCCCTTAGCACCAGCTATCTTGCAGCCCCTAGGTTTATAGAGAAGGGCTATCTGTGCCAGGCAACAGGGAGGGGACTAAATAAAAGCAAGAATCAACTCCTACCATATCTGCCCCATCATCTCCTACCTGCAGTGGAAGGCCAGCAGCAGTCTGTCACCATCCCCAGAGACTGCCGTGGTCCTGCCATGGGGACTTCTCCATATGGTTCAGGTTCCTCTCCTCTCCAGACATTCAGAGCAGCAAAGGGGTGGTGGTTCCTCATTCAACAGGGCCCTCTGCCCTTTGACTGACAGGCAGAGGATTCTGTAGCCTGCCTGGGGACAGAGTTGGTGACCTTACTGCCACTCCTCTGTATTGCAGCAGTGTTTTAGGGGGCTAACCCAGCTTTTTCCTTGAACTTCCCTCCCTCCATAAAAATGTCAAAGAGGCTTCTGCAACATCTAGATAAGAAGGGGACTTTTTAGAAACATCTTCAGTCCCTAGCACAATGTAAGTTCAATTTAGTCTTCCAAGATATGGAAGTTTGGGAATATAATCAGCTTAATGTCCATTGTTTAGAGCTTCCAGACTGGACAGGAATGCAATTCAGAAGCCAGTCCTTTAGCCCTACCTAAAAGAAAGAAGGATTAACTGAAAACTACAATCCCTAAAATTCCAGCTATGACATAATCTGCCTTTGAGCATGTCTGAAGTGCCTCTCTTCATTGAATTATCTATTTCCCTGTTTTTTTTATTATTTCTGAGGGCTGAGCTTAACAAAAGATCTAAATCAAGCCCTTATTTATTGATTTTCCCTGTATATTTTTTAAATTAGCTTTTGGAACACAGCCAACACAGTTGTCCCCATCATCACTTTATCTTCACACCAGAAAAAGCAATATCAATTTCTGTGCATCAAGACCGACATTAAAAGCAATAGCATTCAAAAAAGTTGGTAGATTCCAATTTCTCCTTAATTAAAAGAGATTTCAACAATTAGTACAGTAATATTAGCTGCACCTGGGTCTCAAATATCCTGGATTACACAGCTAAGACCACAACAGTGGATTAAAATCATTTTACTCATTTCAAGAGTTGTCATATTTATGGCTATTTTTGCTGTCACTTTTCCACTGAAAACTATCCAGATAGAAACATAGTCAATAGAAATAAATCTTTAAATGTTAAAAATTTTAAATGTTAAATGTTTAACATTTAAATGTTAAATTTAACATTTAAATGTTACTTTTTTTAACAACTCTTCTAAATTGGTGACAGTACAGACCCTAGCGATCTTAAAACAAGGAAAGAAGCAGCCTTTTCTTTAGGGCTTTGACTCAAATGCACATACTACTGTATTTATTAAAACTGAAACAGTTAATTGAGGACAATATATTTAATGAGAATTCAATCCCACCCACAATTTATCTCTTGAATTGCATCACCATTCAAAGGAATCCATCATCTTTACGATTCTCCGTCACTCTAAAAATGATCCATCTCTCCTCCCAAACCAGGTACTTTCTAGGCATTTTGGGAGTTCAGTTCCAATGATTCTGTCAGTATGCACTTGCTGGGAATTATACTATAGGATTGTAGTAGATTGGGGGGTATCAGGTTGGGGAAATCTGAATTAGAGCTTGCCAACCTCGAGGAAGAACACTACTTTCCTGGCACCATAGCTCTGGTTGAGTACACACAATATATTAAAGCCAATATTACATGATGGCTTGGTTCGCACAAAGTGCTAAGATAGCAGCTGGTTTTTCCACAATTTTCTGAACCCCAAATACCTGACCCTATTTCAACCTAGTCAGCCTATTATACAAAACCAGTCCTGAGTTTCTGCAATAGGATGCTTGAGAAAGAATTTCATGGGCAAGTAACTCGCACAAAACCAGCATGAGCTAGGGGTTTGTTTTTCCATTCCTCCATTCTTCGATTCTAAGAGTTTCCTAAATTCAGAAGCATAGCGGTAAAAGGAGTGAAGTGACCCTTCTCCAGCCCACATTTTTCTTTCTCAGTCTTTCATTTGATCTTTGGCTTCTTCATGGTCTGCAGCCCCCAAGCACCCCCTCCTCACAAATTTCCTCTTTCTTGAGTAGAAACTTTTCCTTCCTCTCTGATTAGCCCCTGGCGTGGTTCCACATTCATGTAACACAAGTTATATTTGGGGAACTGTTAAAAGTGGAGGCTGGAGAGCCATCTGTCAAGGATGCTTTAAATTGGATTTCTGCACCAAGAGCGAGATTGGAGTTGAGGACTCTCCTCCCCCTCCCCCTCCTTTCCCCCATTTCCAGAAAATTGAGAAAATGTGACACATTAATAAAACTAAAGGGTTTTAAAATGGAAGCCCGGAATGCGCCCCCACAGATCATAATCATCAAATGGCTCCCATTCTAGATCTCTCCCATGATCTCTTCCGCTTCCCCCAGAATAAGCTGGTTCCTACCAGATATCTCCATGAAATCATCAAGATTTGGCTGTAGCGGGGCCAGGTCTGGTTGGATCATGTCAGCATTGCCAACGTAAGCTGTAAGAGAGGAAAGTCAAGCAAAGATTTACCATAGAACTTCACTGCTTTCTCCAGAGCTCGGAGCAGGTTACACTACTTGAGGGCTTGGATCTGGTCTGCCCAAGTTCTATTTAAGCATCCAGCTCTGTATTGAGGTTCCTGAAATCTTCTAATGACAAATTAAGTGCAATTTTCTCAAGTGAATACCAAGGACACTAAGCTTCATTGCATAAGCATATAATATCTAGATCAGACTAATTCCATTTACTGCAACCAACTACATTTTTCTGTGTGAAGAATTATTCCTCTATAAATTGTATTATGATGCTGTGGCCTTAACATTAATTAGTGATTGGGTTAATTTAACAAATGTAGAAATACTCCTCTTGGAGGGTTGGGATTTACTTTTTGGATGGCATGCCTATTTAATTTTTAATAAAAAAGTTGACCGGGTTTTTAAATCCCATATTATAAGGATTTCTCTACTTTGGGTTTGGAGGAAATATTACAGAAGTGATTCTAAAATACCATTATGGGCTATACCTTGGCATGCGATAGAGGGGATAAGGAGAGGAGTTAAGATGGATAGTGTTTCTTATGCACAATTGCTTAGATGGGATGGTAAAATTTGGCAGTTAAAATCTTTGGAAGATTTAGCACAAGAAAATATTATATATTCATGGTTTCAGTACAGACAAATAGCGGACAGATGGAAGATAGATCGTAATGTGGGCTTGCTTAGAGAAGATGAAAATTTTGTTAAACAAGTAAAAGATCAAAGACGAACTCATATTAAGAGAATTTATGGGTTGCTAGTAGAATTGGACTCAGAACCAGAATTAATTAAAGAATGTATGATTAAATGGGCACAAAATTTTGGTGAACCAGTTCTACTAGATACCTGGGAAATCATCTGGGTGAGAAATGTTAAATTTACACAAGCCCAGAACTTAAGGGAGAATTTTTATAAAATGTTTTATAGATGGCACCTTGATCCACAAAAAATGTCTCGTATGTATCCCGACTTACAGCCCAAATGTTGGAGATGTGGTTGTTTGGATGCTACTTATTACCATATTTGGTGGTCGTGTAAAAATATAAAAGCCTTTTGGATTAAGATATGGTGGAATATTCAAAGAATTTTTAGAAGGAGGGTAAAATTTACCCCACAATTGTTTTTGCTAGGTATTGTTACCGATTGTGATACTAAGGAGGTTATATTGATGTTAAATTTAATTACAGCCACAAGGTTGTTAGTAGGGCAATACTGGAAGAAGGAATCTTTGCCTACTTTGCAAGAGTGGTTTTTTAAAGTATCCTATCTGGCGGAAATGGCAAAGATTTCGGCTTTTTTAAAGGATCAATCGCAAGAGAAGTTTTTTGTGGTATGGGAAAAATGGATAGATTTTATACAACATAAGTTGGATATAAAAAATATTACTTAGTTTATCAATAATTTATACACAAATTTTAATATTTTATAGATTGTATTATTTTTTTTCTTTATATGTTTTATTATTATTTTACTTTCTTATATTTCTTTTCTTCTTTCTTTCTCTTTATTCTTCTTTTTTTAAGTATTTTTTTCTTTAATATTTATGTCTTTTTTATATATATATATTATTGTTAATTATTCTATTAGTAGTTTAAGTAACGTATTTAGACTTATCTATGGTTTATATTTTTTTTCTTTAAGAATTCAAGAAAATTTAATTAAGCCTATATTCAGCTCTGGGAAAGTTGAGGGAGGGAGTGGGAGGGTTGGGGTGGGTTGGGGAGGGTTGTTTTTTCTTATTTTGTAAAATTTTAAAAATTTTCAATAAAAAAAAAAAAAGAATTATTCCTCTATAGCCATCCTTGCTTGCCTAGCCAAAGAGAAAACACGGCCCTTGTTCATGGAGGTTTTAACTACAGCCCTATTTAAGAACTGCCTTGTTGTGTCAGATCTACTTATGTCTCTTCCTGGATGATCCTGAGAGGTACACTCATGCTTCTAGTGTTCAGGCACTAATCTATATACTCTTTCAATACTTGTGTCTGTGCTCAGCCAGACTTTTGCTTGTTGCCACCTGCTCCTCCCACATAGACATTTAGCTTTTAAAAGGGAAAGGTAAAGAGCATCTGAAGCAGATATTTATGCAGCTCATACAAATGTGATTCTTGCTATTTAGTCATGTGGAAAGAGAGGAAGGAAAGGAAAGAGAGATTTTGAAGAGCAGAGCTCTGCTCAAGGACTGTTGGATCTGAGTAGCTGACCTTGGTAATCAACTTTAAGCCCTTGGAACAATGCTCTATGCTTGTTCCAAATTAATGTTTCTCAGTCTCAGTAACTTTGAAGATGAATGATGTCAACTCCTAAAATGCCCCATGCTGGCTAGGGAACTCTGGAAGTTGAAGTCAATATATCTTAAATTTTCCAATATTAAGAAACACTGTTCTAAACAGTTACCTGTTTAGAAAAGGACACAGTAATCTAGACCAGAGGTCCCCAACCTTTTGGGCACCAGGGACCGGTTTTGTGGAGAAAGGTTCTTCTGTAGACCGGAGGGAGCGTGTGCTGCCTGCATCGCGCAGATGGGGCTTTGCTTGTTTGTGCAGACCAGTTGTTGGCATGCCATGGACCGGTACCGGTCCATGGACCGGGGGTTGGGGACCCCTGATCTAGACCAACCTATTACTGCTTTGCAAACTGAAAACCCATCTGTCCACCTGATTTCAGAAAATAGCTTATTGCTTCCATTGAGGGATATTGTCTTTGCACGCCTTGCATGCTTGATCTGCTGTCCTTCAAGTTAGCTTGTGTGATTAATTCTGGTGGCAAAATTATAAACAGTACAGAAGAAAGCAACTCAAATGTGCACAGGTTGGGAGCAACTTCCTATGGAAAAAAAATACAGTGTCTGAGAATGCTTGTGTTGAGGAGGAAAAGTGTAAAGGAAAGTGGTCAAGTAAATTAAAAGTATGCAAGTGGCAGGGATAACTACTTAGAATCAAAAAATAGAGATGAAGGGTAGAAAATTCAGGACGGAAAAAAGGAAGTATTTCACAAAGCTAAACTATGAATTTCTATTGTGATAACCAGAAACATTAAAGTCTTTAAAAGGGACAAGACCTTGTCATGGAAGATAAAGCTATCAAAAGTTACTAGTCAGGATGGTTTTATTATTACCTACAGATTCTTGTCAATGAATTTCTTGGTACCAATTATTGGGAGGGTACTGTGATACTCATACCTTAAAGGTGAGCTTCCAACAAGTTTTAGTTGGTTTTTTTGGGGAACCAGGATTTTATAATGGACTAGTGGACATATTTGGTCTGATCAAGCTCTCACAAGGTACCATCTCATTGGCTTGTGAACTCCCTAAAAGTCCCTGACTAATCACAAAATGGAATGCAAAATTAAAGGGACCGCTGCTCTGTTCGAGCATAGTAGAGAAAATCTTCAGACTGTCCCAAAGCCGGCTGAGATAGACCACCAGAATTACCTTCTTCTGATGATGATTGAGGAGGACAGTTGCCCTGAGTCATGGTGAACAGGGTGTCCGAGATGTCTGAGAGGAAGCTGTCCATATCAAAGAGCTGCCTTCCCTCCTCCTCTTCCTCCTCCTTATCCCGCAGCAGCATTGGCACCACATTGGAGAAGAGCTGGTTACACCAATTCTCTGTTGATTGCCAAGGTACATCTTCCTGAACAGGAGAGAAATGAATCTTCAGCTGGGATCTCATTAGGATCCTTTTTGCAATGCTTATGTGCAGCTCCAAATGGATTAAGCCAGATGCTCTTCACTCACCGGTTTTGGGCTGGGAACTTCCCCTTCTCGGCTAAACCTGTGGAGCTGTAAGAGAAATGCTACATTAGAATTGGATTTCAATTGAGGGATGACACTTGTTCTGGCTGAAGGTGTAAAGGACAAGGAAAAGTCACCCTCGTTTCAGTGGGAATGAAAGTGACAGGTACTTTGAATCATGCTAGTAAGGACAATGCTGGAGAATCTTAAGTAAGGTAGGGGGCGCTAGTGGTTCCTAATACTCTTTCAGGTAATGTCTGATATCCTTAAGATAAAAGGATGTGCAAAAATTTCACCTCTCCTGTGCTGAATAGGCAACCTCCTTTTTGCATTGTAACGGGTAGTCCTCGACTTACGACTACAATTGAGCCCAAAGCTTCTGTTGCTAAGTGAGACATTTGTTAAGTGAGTTTTGCTCCATTTTACGACCTTCCTTGCTACAGTTGTTAAGTGACTCACTGCAGTTCTTAAGTCAGGGATAGGGTTAAGTGAATTTGGCTTCCCCACTAACTTGCTTTACTTTATGACACTACTACCGTCATAAATATGAGTCCGTTGTGAAGCATCTGAATTTTGATCACGTGATCATTGGGATGCTACAAAGGTAAGTGTGAAAAACGGCCATAAGTCACTTTTTCCAGTGCTGTTGTAACTTTGAACGGTCATTAAATGAATTGTTGTAAGTCGAGGACTACCTGTATTTTGGAATCTCTACAGAAAAAAGTCTCGCTCTTCTGTGAGCAAGGAAAAACTCTGTGATTCTGCTCCTGCGGTTATATTATCACTTCTGAATCATGCCAACAAAGAATTAATGTTTCAGATGAGGTCATCTGATGAGGTCATCTAATGTTCTAACTATCCTTTCAGAAGTAGGAAAATATAGTGTTAACACTAAGACACAACTTGGCCAATGAGCTTCAATGCAAATGCACTGCACAGCCGCAATACATTGACAAACCACTAGGTATTTTTTTTTTTACAATTATTGCGTCAAGGTAGATTAAGGGAAAAATAAAATAAAATATAAAATAAAATACTTTAAGAAGCTAAAACATTCATTGATTAAAGCTTGCACTTCTTTGAAATCATGGCTCACCAGAGCCAAGCTTCAGAGTGTGTTTCCAATGCAATCAGGAACCATTTCAAGTAATAGTGCTTGTCATATGTAGCAAGAAAATAGTAAGAGAAAGGACTACTTTATGATGTTTGTTGTTGTTGTTGTTAATTGCAAAGTCGTGTCCGACCCATCGCGACCCCATGGACAACGTTCCTCCAGGTCTTCCTATCCTCTACCATCTTCTGGAGTCCATTTAAATTCACACCTACTGCTTCAGTGACTCCATCCAGCCATCTCATTCTCTGTCGTCCCCTTCTTCTATTGCCCTCCATCTTTCCTAGCATTAGGTTCTTCTCCAGTGAATCCTTCTCATTAGGTGGCCAAAGTACTTGAGTTTCAACTTCAGGATCTGGCCTTCTAAAGAGCAGTCGGGGTTCTTCTAGGACTGACCGGTTTGAACGCCTTGCAGTCCAAGGGACTCGCAGGAGTCTTCTCCAGCACCATAGTTCTCTTTATGATGAGTTTTGTCCAAAGCAATGAATTAAAGAGGGGCCATTCTTTATGCATTTTCAGAATCCATAGATTTGTTATTTTTCTAACATATCGGCTTGTAGTGCCATTGCTGATGAAATGCCAGCATCAGTACCTAAAAAGTCATTATTACCCTCACTGTCATCACCATCAACCCCCAGCCAAAAAAAAAAACAACCCCTAAAGGAGAAAGCCCCAATCAACTTAGATATGAGTATGCTTGCCTTGACATTGTTGCTCTATGATGCACCATTTCACCCAACTGAAGATTACAAACAGAAGAGTTTTAGTAGTATATAGATAACATAATAATAAGAACAGTCCAGCTTTGGACTGTTTTGCTAGTCCAGCAGTCTTGAAGCAGAAATTCCAGAGCCAAAAGTTTTGATCCCTTGTGAATCTTGGGAAAGGTAAACTGTGGGTATCCCTAATCAAAGAGAAAATGAGCCCCTAGGTGGAGCTGCTACCCAACTCATGATTTGGAGTTGATTTTGACTCTTTCCATTTCTTTTGGTTCCCTTTTGTCAACCTGTCATCAGCAAATGGTGAATGGCAGATACAATCAGATGACCTTAGGGAGTCCTCAGACAGATATGAAGTCTATCTTTTCTATCTAGTAGCCAACATGGGTTTGGTAAAAACAGATCATGCCAAACCAATCTCATCTCATTCTTCGATAAAGTGACTAAACTAGTAGATCAGCGAAACGCAGTGGACGTAGTATACTTAGATTTCAGTAAGGCATTTGACAAGGTAGACCATAACCTACTGCTTGGTAAGCTAGGAAAAGATGGAATAGACAACATCACCATCAGATGGATCTGTAGCTGGCTAACAAGCTGTACTCAACGAGTAGTCCTCAATAGCACTACATCCACATGGAGAGAAATAAGCAGTAGGGTACCACAAGGTTCCATTTTAGGCCCAGTTCTCTTCAATATCATCATAAACGACTTAGATGAGGGAATTGAAGGAGAACTCATCAAATTTGCAGATGACATCAAACTGACAGGGGTAGCCAACACCCAGAAGACAAACTCAGGATCCAAAAAGATCTTAACAAACTTGAACAATGGGCCCTGTCCAACAAAATGAGTTTCAATATGGAGAAAAGCAAAGTCTTACATTTAGGCAGGAAAAACCAAAGGTATAAGTACAGATTGGGTGAGACCTGGCTTAAAAGCAGTAACTGTGAGAGCTGGAGTCCTAGTGGACGATCACTTAACCATGAGCCAGCAGTGTGCAGCAGCAGCCAAAAAAGCTAATACAATCCTGGGTTATATAAACAGAGGCATAGAATCAAGATCACACAAAATATTATTACCGCTTTATAAAACCCTAGTAGGATCACACCTGGAATACTGCAGCCAATTTTGGTCACCATATCACAAAAAAAGATGTTGAGAGTTTGGAAAAAATTCAAAGAAGAGCAACTAAGATGATTAAAGGCCTGGAGACTAAAACATATGAAGAACAGCTACGGGACTTGGGTTTGGCTAGTCTAAAGAAAAGAAGAAATAGGGGAGACATGATAGCAGTGTTCCAGTATCTAAGGGGCTGCCACAGGGCAGAGGGAGCCAGGTTGTTCACCAAAGTACCAGAAGGAAGGACGAGAAGCAATGGTTGGAAACTGATCAAAGAGAGAAGCAACCTGGAACTAAGGAGAAACTTCCTGACAATGACGATAATCAACCAGTGGAACAGCTTACCCCCAGAAATCATGGGCGTTCCATCACTGGAGATTTTTAAGAAGAGATTGGCCATTTACCTGTCTGAGACGATGTAGGTTCTCCTGCTTGAGCAGAGGGCTGGACTAGAAGACCTCCAAGGTCCCTTCCAGCTCTATTCTATTCTATCCACCCAGCAGGTCAGTTTGATAACAGTGTGGGGAGAAAAGAAGACAAATCCTTACTCTTTTCTTGTAGTAGGTCCGCCACTTGTGATACTCCTTCATTACCACCTCAATCCGTCGCTTCCAGTAGTTTCCTTCCAACACAACTGCCTGAGAAGGAAGACAACAAACCAGAAGAAGAAGAAATTAAAAGAAAATAATAATAAAACCCTCATTTTTACTCATTTTTAATTGCAATTTTCCAAGTTCAGCCTGGCTTTTGGGATGATAAAACCATTTTAATATTAACATGTATTATCAATGTAACTAAAGGGAAAGATATTTAAGTGGATTGATCTCCAACACAATACTAAACCATGGTTTGGCTTAATCATATTTTGCTGAATGGATTAAAATGGATGGGATCACATCACATTAAACTATAAATCATGGTTTTTAAACAGGTTATCTGGGACCATATAACAGCTGAAGAAGAGAAATAACCACTTCATGACAGCACAATGAAAGGAAGATGGAAGGAAAAGACAAGCATAAGACTGATCCAGTTCACAAGATGTTCTTGTTTTCAGTGTCTGATAAATTAATAATGTCAATAATTTATTAAATATTATGCCGTTCAATTCCCAGGAACACTGGGTGAGTCTAAGGACTCCCAACAATGGGTTAGTATTAACCTGTGTCATTAGTGATTTATATATGTTATATGAACTCTGCTGTTTGATTCATATAGAATGTATTTTACAATCCCCCAAAATTGCTTTTTTGATTCAGCAATCAGATTGCGTGTTGCATGAAAACTGCTGAGATCTCAAAAGGTGTTTTTTTTCAAATGGTAACTAAATTTTCTTGATTTTTTTTTTTTTTTTTGAAGACAAGATGCTTCTTGGATGAAAAGTAAAACGTCTTCAAGAAAAATCAAGAAAGTCCAGTTGTTGTTGTTGTTGTTGTTTTAAAAAAACACCTTTTGGGACAACTATGACCTGGATGACTGAGAACCTCAACAGACACAGCCATGTGGTTTAAGTGACATAGTCAAATAAGTTTGCTGACTTTTCCTAACACTCATTTTATCAACCTGTAGGGGAAGGAGTGCAAGAACCTGGGGGCAGAGTTAAAAGAGGGATCAACCTACAATCTCTACATAGCCACAAACAGACTAAGTCTCCCCCACTTGAATTCTGTTAATCCTTATCTAATACCTAGCAGGTGCTAACCATTAGTTGAGAATTTACCTGTGCATAGGCACGAGTAGCAATAAATCAGTTTAATTGGACCTTCACATGTGGACCTAATCTTTCGTGACTGACAAAACTGTACCCTCAGCATTATCTATACACACACACACAAAAACCATACATACATACATACACACATAGTATGGAGAAAATGCTACACCACTTACTTCTGGCTTTCGATGCTCATCTGCTTCAGACCCATCTAGAGGAGTAACAAATCCACAAACAGAGGTCTTCCTGCGTTCCACATCTGTGTAAAGAATCTATTACAGTAAATATTCCATTGTCCAGAGAAGCTAAGGAGGCACAGGTATTCCTGCTGCTTCTCAGTATCTGTTTTATGAGACAGCCATGTCATTTGCTTTGCCCCCACCTTCTCTTTCATCTCCCTTCCAAAAATATATTAAGGCAGAAAAGATAGAGTTGTTGCTTGCTTTGTAATGCAAGCAGAAAGACATGCAGAAATGTCCCCCCCCCCACACACTTTTTTTTTAATTCCAGTTTTTCCCTACCAGTGCAGTTTGGATTACCACCTCTGTTATCTTTGTTCATGCGGGCTGAAACTAAAACATTTGCTGGGTACCAAATTATGAAAATACTTTCTACTTCATTGTTTCTGTATTTCCTCCAGTTGCCATTTGCTATTCATGTAGCTGAGCTTGTTTTAGGCTATCTACAGCTGGATTGACATTCTTGATTCCTATTCACAGCTAGATGGTGACAAAGAGAGAGCTCCTTAATCTAAGCGCTTTGTTTATTTAAGAAAAAGATGTCTGAAGCTAGACATGATGCTGTGGAATAGACTAATAATGGTGTGATTGTATCATTTGGATGAGGAAAACTTCTAGGACACTATTGTCAGCAATTGCAAAGCCATAGTAAGCTTTAGGATAGGGTAGGGTATCAGATAGGGTAGGGCAGACATGCCAAACACAAGGCCCGGGGGCCGGATGCGGCCCGCGACGTGGTTTCATGTGGCCCGCAAAGCCATCCTGGAAACAGTGAGGGAACGGCCCCCGCTGCCTTGGCCCCAGCCCAGGCCGGCCTGGAGCCAATGTACAATTTTGTGGTGGCCATCTATGCTTAGCTCCACAAGGCCGTCTGGAAACAGTGAGGAACCAGTCCCTGCCGCATCGCCCCCGCCCCCTGGGTGCATGCTGGGGAGGTGTCACCTTTTGTGAGGAATGAAGAAATGCACCATTGCCTGGAAGTGGCCAGCAAATGGCCCTTGCCTACTTCACATATCCGACCTGATGGGCTCTGGGGGAGGGGTTTCGGCAGGCTCTTCCAGTGGACCATACCTTGGCGCTTGCCCTGGTCCCAGCCCCTTCTGCCAGAGACCCTCAGATCTGTCCACTCCTGCCCAGGCCCCCACAGGCACCCTTCACGCGAACGATGTACAGCTGGCCATGCCCACCCAGTAGGCACACCCACTCCAGCCATGCCCACCCAGTAGGCCATGCCCACACTGGCCACACCTGCCCGGCCCCCCGAGGACAACCGCAATGCTAATGCGGCCCTCAATGAAATTGAGTTTGACACCCCTGGGGTAGGGTAAGGTAGGGGAGGGGAGGGGAGGGGAAGGGAAGGGAAGGGAGGAGAGGGGGATCTGAGTGTGATGTTGGGACATGGTTCCAGAAACAATGGAACAGTATAATAAAAAAAGCCCCAATATCTTGGTATTGTAAGTATGATTTGAAGGCATCATGTATTTAAATACATTGCGCAGGAAGAATATTCTTATCCACAAGGACAAAAAAAGTATAGAGAAGTACATTGAATAATTTTGATGTAATCTAGATTTTCTTTTCTTTTATCTCATCTACAATTTGTCATCCTGGGAACTTCTAACTTTTTACAATTTTGTTTTATATAATGTTGCTTACTCTAAAACAGTGGTTCTCAACCTGTGGGTCGGGACCCCATTTGGGGTCAAACGACCATTTCATGGGGGTTGCCAAACAACGCAGTCCGCCATTTTTTTCCCCCTTTTCCTTAGCTGTGTATCAGAGTGTCCGTTGGGCCTTTTACAGAAAGTAGCGGACCCATCCCGACCTTGGGAAGAGATCGCGGTGGAATTACTGGAAAATCGGCGCTATAATGTGATTTGGACAGTGGTTGATCTTTTTTCCAAACAGGCACATTTCATCCCATGTAGAGGATTACCATCAGCATGTCGTTTAGCGAAAGTCAACACACAAACGCAACGACCCATCTTTCTTCTCCTTGAAGAGTACTGCGGCAGCAACTTGGGATCGTTCTAGGTTGTGGTCAATGTATCAACATAGTTCTGTCAACTCTTTTGGCGTCATAGCGTACATGGGGAACACTGGCTTGACACTGTGCTACTCCCTTTTATTCTATTGGCTTTTGAAAGCCAATAGAATAGACTCTCTTGAATAGAGTCTAATTCTATTGGCTTTCAAAAGCCAATAGGAATTGTCCAGGCTGTCTCTGCCCTGCTGAGCCCGCCAAAAGTCCCATTCTGCAAACGGTGCTGCAAGTTGTCTGCAGCGAAGGCGAGCTGTCTGGAAGTTTCCACCCCTCCCTGCTGAGCAACTACTAAAAATGTAAATAAAAGAGGGCCAGGGGTAAGAGGTGAGAGGCCAGCGGGCGCAGGGAGGGTTGCTGGCATGCGTGGGGCCTGGCGGGTGCCTTACCTCCCTTGGGCTGGGCCAGCTGGTGGCCCAGCCGGTGGTTGGCCTGCTCCGTCTCTGCCGCCTGCCAGCTATGCCTCGGCCGGCATAGGGGGCGGCACCACGCATGTGCGGAGCTCCCGGGCAGGGAAAGTCCTCGACTTACAACCGGTTGGGTAGTCCTCGACTTACGACCGGTTGGGGTCACGGCATTAAAAAGGTTGAGAACCACTGCTCTAAAAGCTAATATCTTGATGGACATGTAAATATGCCTAGATTTATTCATTTACTTTCACAAAGACCTAAGTTCCTTTTTTAGGATTGAAAAATTGCTTTTCAGATTTTTAATAAAATAAAAAATCCCATTAAATCTAAATTTGCTTGTACTTGGATCTAAAATGCTTTTCAAATGTGAGCAATGCAAATACTGAAGCCCATCCCTGGGGAGCAAACTTTGGCTCCTATCTACTGAAGCTGAGTTGAATTCCCAACCATCTGCCCCCCCCCATCTCCTTCCCTAGTCCCCCAACTCACACTGGATGTACCAAGCTCTCCAAATGGCATTGTTGAGGCGGATCTTCTCCCGACAAAGCAATTGTAATCCTTTAAAATTCTTCCACTTGGGGGATACCAGCTTCCCACTGAAATGTCAAAGAAAAAGACATGGATTTAAAGAAGGAGGGATATAAATCAGGAACAGATAGACCCCAGTTCTTTTCTTGACCAAGTTTGTAGGTCTTTAAATTGATCCAATATCAGTTTAACATGCCAGAGCTAATGGAACTATAGTTATATTGATCAGTAATCATTTGCTAGAACAACTAAATTTAGCAATCATGAACATAGACAGTATTCCTTGTTTAAATGTGGTGGTCTTCATGCCCTGTTTATGGGCTTCCTAGAAGCATTTAGTTGATTGGTAATGGAGGCAACTAGACCTGATGAATTCTTGGTCTGATTGAACGAGGTATTTGAAGCATAACGTTGGATATCAGTGCCCATGGAGATTTTCAGTCATCTTCTCATCCAAGAAGCTTCTTCAGTTCTGAATGAATGGTGGAGAATGGAAGGATTTATATTCCTTGTTAGCACTCTTTCTGAGAGTCATTGAGGCCACTTGGTGATTTATCTGTGCCCTCGGGGTCACCCGAAAAGTGCAAATGGGTGTAGAACTTTCTTAGAACTGCTGAAAGGACTATGTTGTAAGGTACGTTGTAAAGATTGTGTTGTAAACTTTGGATACCAAATCAGAATTTCCCAATGCAGAAGCAGCCCACCTTTCAACTGTGGATGCTGAGGGCAAACAGTAATAGAATGGCATTATCACATCTACATCCCACAGGCATTTAATTGGAAGCCAGATGTTGAATTAATGGATCTTTGATTCTTAGAAGAGCTTCCCATCCAGTGCATTTGTTTGTAAAGAGATGGCTAGCATGCAAATTTGATAAACAAATTAACCATTTACAAACCATTATATAACTCTCCCAGGTAGGTCATCATTATGGCAAATCAAATGGTGCATTATCACTTCTATTGCAACAAGGTACTGAAATATCTTGTTGCATTAATTGCATTGCTGTAATAATAACAGAGTGGTGAAATGCTTTTAAAACACTAGATTGTTGAGAAGTGCAGTTTAACTAGTCAGGAAATAGCAAATTATGCAAGACTCCACGTGAGAGTTCCCTGTTCTAGATATGTCACTGCCTTCTATAGGGAAGATGGTTCATAGTTTATTTATTGGAGCAATTATGTTAGCATAAAACTAGAAATGAGTAAAAGCATGGGGATATCTGTGGAGATTCTCATCATCCAGGACATAGTTGTCTCAAAGGTGGTTTTTTTTTCTTCAAAAGGCAACTAGACTGTTTTTTTTCCTTGAAGAAAAAGAAGAAAATGTTTTACTTCTCTTCCAAGAAGCTTCATCAGCTCTGATTTGGGGGGGGGGGGGAAATGGAAGAATGGCTACCTATCAATACCTATCCTTCCATTCCCCCACCATCAGAACTGAAGAAGTTTCTTGGATGAGAAGCGAAACGTTTTCTTCTTCTTCCTGAAGGAAAAAACAGCCCAGTTGCCTTTTGGAAAAAAAAGAGCACCTTTGAGACAAAGCATGGGATATATCATTTTCCTGTATAAGTGTACATATTACCATCATAGTCCTCTGCTTTGTCCAGCTTGCCACTGCACACACTGCCTCTGTGGCAAAATACCTACCTTTACTAACCAAAGAGAGAAGCAACCTAGAACTAAGGAGAAACTTCCTGACAGTCAGAATAATTAGCCAGTAGAACAACCTGCCTCCAGAAGCTGTGAATGCTCCAACACTGCAAGTTTTTAAGAAGAAACTGGACAGCCATTTGTCAGAAATGGTATAGGGCAGTGGTGGCGAACCTATGGCACACATGCCAGAGGCGGTACTCAGAGCCCTCTCTGTGGGCACACACGCCATACCCCGGAGATGGCAACCGTCCCTCTTCAACCAGCCACCTGCTAACTCGCCAAGGTCACACATGGCCAGATGCATCCCAGCATGGCTGGTTTCCCTCCCCCCTTCCCATCCCTCCTAGCCTCACATGCTCTCCTTTTCCCGGACATGACCCATTGCATTGCCTCCTCAGCTGTCAGCTGGCTGTTTTTTTATTATTATTATTATTACTATTATTATTATTATTATTATTATTATTATTATTATTATTATTTACCTCAAGGCATCTTATTTCAGTTACAATAAATAAGGATAGGCAACCTCTGAATGGTGAGCAGCACCTTCAGAAATGTGTCATGGCAGTATTTGAGACAAGTCCATCCTTTTTTGGTTTTCTGAAATGTGGGTAGGTAGGTGTACAGCAGATGTGGGGATCTAAACCCAGGTCCATTCAGAGGCAAGGCCTGCCTTTCTATTTAAGGGCTTGTTTTTCTAAGTGGCTGAGTTCATACTGTATACTGAACTAGATTAAAGTCCAGTTGGATAGTTTCTGGTTGGGTAGCACCGGCTGATACTGTCCAGGCTTGTCTGAGAGCACAGAGGAGATTGTGTAAGGTAAGCTGGAAAACTGGAAAACATTCCTGGAAGAAGATAGATGAAAACTGCCTGGTTATATCCATGTGGTCCCCAGGAGACAAGCTTGATTTGAAGGCAGCTTTGCCTTTCAATCCCTTATTCAGCATGTTGTAGAGATCACAGCATCTTTTGTGAATTAGGCCATCATATTAAACTGTAATGTGTTTTATTAATTTGGATACGGCATGTGATTTACTTGACCTGGTATAAGGTTTATTATATTATGTGAATCCATATGAAGCGTCCCAAGGCACATTTTTTAAAACAAGCGCCTGTGGTCTAAAGGAGCGCTATCGAAACAAGAGTAAAACCATATTGTACCAATTGTTTCCTCACTGTATCCAAGTTTCCAGGAACAGTCAGCCGGCTGTTTATTCAGTGTGCAAAGCAGAGCACATTTTCGCTAATCTATGTGCAGAGACCCATGTATAAAGCCAGCCTTCATCATCTCCTGGACAGGAAAGCAAGCAAACACCAGCTGGGATGGAAAACCCTATAAAATAGCAGCCAAATGTTGAAGGAGGTAATGTGATGGAGGAAAGTGCACAATGGGGGCCAGGGCTGAATTATAAAACAGAAATTCAGAGTGGGATTGCATAATCTTCCCTCCATCTGGTGCCCTCCAGTGACATTAGACTACAAGTCCTATCATTTTTAGCTATTATGGGTTGATATAGTAGGTAGAATAGAATATGCAGCCTGTTACTCCATTACCCCATAGTTTTAGACTACAATATCCACAATGGATTTCTTGCCATTAGTTCAATTACTACCTGCTAGTACCATATGTGACATTCAAAGTTTTCAGGTGAATATCAAGACATCTATCCTAAGAGAAAGTTTTATGCAGACAAGTGAATTTTTAGCTAAATTTTAGAATCAAGTAAAGATTAAAATTGGGTGCTTTGTATATACAAATATCAGAAAGACAAAAGCCAGTAAATGGGAATGGGAATTATAGTCCTATGTAAGTGGCAGTTTGAAAAAAGTTACTCCAACCAATTATTAGGACTTGTCTTGGGGGGGGGGGTGTTTCCCTCTTCTCCCCCCCCCCAAAAACCCCATCCCAAACTGAATATTATAGCTCTAAATAGCCTTCAGTAATCTTTTCTGCTATCCTTCTTCCTTCCAAAAGGTGAAATGGGTCGTAGAAAAATGTCAAGCTATGAATTCATTCATTGGATTCACATGTTAAGACTAAAACAGTGATAATTAAATGTAGTTACTGTGTTCCCATAGCATGTTAAAGACAAATGAACTATGTTGACTCTTTATACAATAGGCTTAGTCAATTTATTGAAATGAACTATAAAATAACCAAACAGGCTATCTTTGTCAATAATTAAAGATACCAAACCATACATACAACCACACAGACACAGAACAAACTTCCTCTATTTAAAAGTAACTGATCAGTCAATCATCCCTAATCAAAAGCAGTTTATAGGTTTATCTCCTATCTGCAAAACATACTTTATTATTACAAGCAATTAAGCAAGGAAACAAATCTAAAGCCAAAGATGTCCCTGTATCAACCCACAGCAGTGGGAGTGAACAGAAGGAAGACCACAGTCATCTTTTTGTCAAATGTTTCCATTCTCTAGCCTTCATCTGGCAACAGCCCTGATTACATCAGCTCTCAAAGAACCTTAGATAGTGCCAAGGGATCACAATGGCAGCAGAAAGAGGAAAATGTTTATTTTGTCATCATTTTTTAGTCTCCTAAGTACATGTAATCAAGGATTTCAGAATCACCGGCTAGCTATTATGGTTACACAGAGGACTGCCTGCAGAGGACAAAGCAATTTTTTTTCCTGTTGATGGCCACATATGGTCAGTGGGGCTAAAGCAAGCAGTGTTGGGACATGATCTCTTGCACAACAGTAGAAACACAGAATGGAAGAGTTGGAAGGGACCTTGGTGATCATCAAGATCATGGAACTTCAGTGCAAGTATCCACTACTACATCATCCTACAATTGAACTACTGATAACCCAGTCACCACATTGCTTTCTAAATATTTGGATGTTAAATTGGAAAACTAATAAAATTTGTTATAAAAAATAAAAAAAATAAAAAAGGAAAGTTTTCCTGATATATCCCACAAAATGTACTTTCTTTTAGCTGAAATGAGACTGAAGGCATTTTTAAAAAATTATAAGACAATATGAGTGGAGCAGATCAAGGTCACATAGAACATATTTGCATAACATATTTAAGTAAGTCAGTTAAAGACCTAGGAACTGCTTTCAGATAATTTCTAAGTCAAGTGTTAATCTTGTCATTTTGTTTTACTTTTTTAGTTAATTTATGCCTCAATATATTGTGCAAATCCAGAAAATTAATTATTTCAGTAACCAGGTCAACGTGATGTGTGAATACAGTATCCATCCTGTCTGATGGGCAGAGCTGTCCTCAGCTGTGGATATAACCAAAAGAAAAATGGGAAGATCTAAAACCTGAATGATTGTAATTTCTTTAGCTGGGACTGTCCTTGAAAACTGCTTGGAAATTCCAGCTGCTATAGTATCCAGCTGCCCATTTGATAAAGGATCAACTTTGTTATTCCTTCAT